GCGCTCTGCTAACTGCGCAGTAAGCAGCGACTGCGCTTGGGCTGCGCTGCAGTGTGRGCAATATTATGAGAATTGATTTGTTGAATAATTTCATTTTTGAAAAACGACCAGGATGCAAAACTGTAACATTTGACTTTCTTTACATTTATATTTCTTATAATTATTCCAGCCAACCGAATGATTCCAAATTTTCAGGTAATATAGCCAAATATCGTATTAATAAAACAAAATTAAGATCTCAAACATCCATCCAGTAAAAGCGAAAATACAGAACGTTGAAGTTGCAACACATGATTCATGTTACAGTTTTGCTCGTCACTGTATGTTGGAATGTGTGCATAATATAAGTGCAGAATGATTAGAATATCAGCTTGGAGGGTTCAGGGTATCTGCTAGTCAGTCTTGGCTAGAGCACTCTTGTTTAAATTCATAACTCCTATTTGCGATCCCTGAATTTATCTGTAGTGTTTTATAGTACGGAATTAATTATTATCGTTTTTAGATCATATGAACTCACGCGAAAGGACAGACTCTACAAAAATATTGAACGGATGCAACACTTACGTGGAATGAAGCATTTTGACATTGTGCCCCAATCTTTTATTCTTCCGCTTGAATCGAAAGATCTATTATTTGCCCATAATAAACAAAGAGGACCTTGGATTGTGAAACCGGCAGCTTCAAGCAGGGGACGTGGAATATTTATTGTGAATTCGGTAAATTACTAGTAAAACAAACAACAAACAAAAAATGATTTATAATACTTTACTTGTAGCCAGACCAGATACCACAGGACGAACAAGTTTTAGTATCCAAATATATTGTGGATCCACTTTGTATTGATGGTCATAAGTGTGATTTACGCGTATATGTGTTGGTTACGTCATTCGATCCACTCATTATATATCTTTATGAAGAGGGTATAGTCAGATTGGCGACTGTGCGGTACGACAGGAACACTGACAACCTGTGGAATCCATGCATGCATCTTTGTAACTATAGCATCAATAAATATCATTCTGATTACATAAGATCATCGGATGCTCAGGAGGAAGATGTTGGTCACAAGTGGACCTTGTCAGCCCTTTTAAGACATCTTAAGCTCCAAGGATGCGATACTCACTTACTGATGCTGAATATTGAAGATCTAATCATTAAGGCTGTACTCGCCTGTGCTCAAACAATAATTTCCGCATGTAGAATGTTTGTACCTAATGCAAATAACTGTTTTGAACTTTATGGATTTGATATATTAATTGATAATACACTGAAACCTTGGTTATTGGAAGTTAACCTTTCGCCATCGATGGGTGTTGACAGCCCCTTGGATACTAAAGTAAAAGCCTGTCTTGTTACGGATTTACTGACCTGTGTTGGCATTCCGGCATTTAGTCCTGAAATGAGATCTCTTTATACCAATAAATCAGCCCGGCGACGTAGCTCAAGTTGTCAAAGGCAAGTAGATGCAACTGAAACCAGCACTACACTTCGATCAACAAAATCAAAAAAAAAGCCTTTTGGATTAATAAACTTAACGCAAGAAGAACAGCGTATATTACGTAGCGCCCGATTGCAATATACAAGACGTGGAGGCTTCGTTCGCATATTCCCAACAGACGACACAATGCAACGATACGGACATTTCTTAGATTCTGCAAATGGCATTCCACTATCCACCCCAAATGTCCAAGGTCAAACGTTTCAAGCATTAGTAACGCAACATAATTACAACCAAATGCTGTATTCAAATTTATTCTGTCAGGGCTCACGATACATTCAAGCCGATAATTCGCAAGAAAACCGTATTAAACAATACGAACGAGCTTTGGAAACGGACTCTGAAATACCTTTCTTAAAGAAACAAACTGTAGAGAAATGTGAAGAAGAAGGACGAAGACTTCGCAAGCAATTACTTAAGAAAATTGGCAGTGGCTCCACATTAACTCATTTTCAAGCACGTCAAACGTTTAGTTTATATTTAGAGTCCGTATTACGAAGACTAACTCAAGACCCAAAAGATAGTCATGAAAAAATTATTTTAAAATTTCTTAATAAGTATGGTGGGGGTGTTAAACCTCCAGTTTTATTTCGAAATACGCAAAATATTAGTAAAGCTCGTTCAGCAATGGTAGCAAAATTATTAGGTGATTTTTTGGAAAATTACAAAAGAGATACCGAAGCCTACGTAGATTCCTTTGACCATTTTGGAATGATACCAACCAGTGCCTACAGTTTATTTTTAATACACGCTCAAGAATCAGATCTAGAGGCAGTCCTAACTCATCATACAAATATTACTGGAATAATGCCATTTTTATATAATCGATGTGGGCTGTCAGTGCCATCAACGCCGCCTATTCCGTCCGGATTATATGGGTTCCTAAGGGCTCTGCCTGCAATGGTATCAAATTCAGGAGTCTCGAGAGACGTTAGCAAGTATGATGGGTATTTCAAAAGCTACGATAAAAATTGTGAAAATGTACGTGATATTTCATTAAGATCAAGAAGCACAAAGGATATCAAATAGTAAATATATTTTGTTGCAATTTATTTATTTAGCATATTTGTTAAACCATTTTTCAATAATCTCTTTTGGATTTAAAAATTATATGCATAAGGCTGGATTTAAATAAAATACAACGAAAAATATGCCTAAACAATGTATAACGTAAAATGAAAACTATAAAATAATATAAATTATATGTAATAATATAAATTATTTCACCTGCGAATTTTCCTTTAGCATAATAATGATATTCTATTTCATAAAAACTTATGAAATTTGCAAATATAAGTTTTGTTAAGGACCAAAGTTAGAGTAAATTTATTCCTTAACTCCTTCCTTTTTAATAATATTATCAATATAAAATCATATATGAAATCGTTTTTTACTAAAATGAAGTATTACCTACTGTATTTATTAACTAAATCTTCAAAATTTATTTCAAGGCTAAAATAACAACAATGATCTGTTGCCACATTTTTAAGATCTATTTTAAATGTAATATCTGATATTTGATAAGTCGAAATAGTCAACATACTCTATAAAAGTGAGTCAATAAGAAACATAAGAAGAATTTTGTAACCGGACATTATCAAATGCTTACATCTCCTAAGTGTTCACAGCTTGCAAGTTAATAAATATTTAATTCCGACACTTTTTTTTAGCTGTATTTTGTGTTTCTTATACGTGGCATATCGTCTACAGATATACCGAATAATAATACGGTATAACTACGTTGACCCAGCGAACTTCGTACCACCCAACAGTCTCTATATATATAAAACAAAGTCGGGTTTGTTCAAACACTTATAACTCGAGATCTGCTGGACCAATTTTCATGGTTTTTGATTTGGTGGATTTGTCTCCGCCCCGAATAGCAGAATATGTCTTAAAATACTGAAAAATGACGAATACTTGAAAAATGCGTTATAAAGTTCTTTAATTTCGGAGCTATCAAATGTTTTTTCTCAAAATCAGTAAGTAATGTGTTACCTTTTAGCTGAACTAATTTAGACTTTGATGATTGTAATACAATAATAATAAAAAATACAAAACAATATTAATATAGATAGAAGTATAATAGTATTTTATTATGATGAATGATGATGACAACATACAGAATAAGAATAAAAAAAAAAAAAAAAAAATAATTAAGTTTTCCAAACACGTCAGAAAACAAGTAAGCACGTTGCAGTCGGGCGTTACCGAYTGCGGAATACTCATTCACATCGTATCAACAATTTAGTAGTTAAGTTTCACTCTAACACTGTAGAAAATGCAGTTTTTCCCGATTTGCCACGCCCCTACTGGGCGTAGACACCTCATTTTTGGTCAGTTCTTAGAACGTGATAACGGTACCCTAACTGCAAAGTTTGAATGCTTACCCTCAAAAATGTGAAAATTACAGGGTATTTTTCGATATGCCACGATCCAAAAGAGGC